TTTGTATATTAGAGTACGGAGACTAGATAAGCAGTGACAATCAAATATAACCACAAACGATTTTGAAGCAAATCATATGTTTTGCCAGACAAGGACAAGAATATGTTTTTCCCTTAGATAAAGGTTCCTGGCATCTTCCTTCTACCACAAGTCCTGGGAAGAGTACATCCATGTATCTTTCTCTGTCTTTGATTTTTGTATGAGAGTGCATAGCGTCTCCTCCAGTGGGTAAAGGGGTACGATAAATTGATTAGAAAATTATTTCTTCTCGACATATTGAATGAAAAGGCTGAAGAACCTCAATGGAGGTCGATATCAAGTTGGTATGTACATATATAAACCAACGAAATACATATACTATTCCTATGAAATAAGTCTCTCATATGTAGGTATATATACGTTCAGTTGAATATTTTTTGATCACAAAAGTTCAGAATGGGGTAAAAACTGATAAATTTCAAGCAATGAAACATACTTTTATTTCGAATGGAACAATTTCACTTGTACAAGAGTGGTAGGTAATAAGTAATTATTGATTTCAGTTAGGATAAATACTAAAGGTTCTCCAAGATATACGGAAGTAGGTATAAACTGGTTCGGCTCTTTCTCTCAATGCGATCCGATTCTTCAACATCAAATCTTTCGTTCTGAAGTGTACCTGATAAAGATGCGTTGAAAAATGTTCTCTATTCTACCAAGAAATTTGAATATCTCGCAAATGTTGGGGCCTGAACCTATATTCCATGCCGGCTGCATCATATTCTGTTTCCATTTTTGTAGAATTTCGTTATCCGATGGAAATTCAAATAGAGTGAATTGATTTCCGGTGTTCTCACAGTTGGAAACTGCACAAACTTGCATCTTTCTCCTAATTCTCTCAATGTATGTTAAGAACGTCCGTGTACTGTAAGTTCCCGCTTCTTCCATCAATTTATTTGTGGTAATGTCTGATGGTCACAGTGCTTGTCATAGTGTCCGTACTCTAATATACAAAAAACGTCAAAACAGCAGTGTCAAGTACATTTAGGAACTCTAGCTACCACTATCTCAAATGCGATGGAATGGAAGGAGCATGTGACGTGGACTGTACTCGAACTCGTATCGTATCGCGATCTCGCTTGGCGTTCTGTGTTTGTGTTGTCGTCCCAGTCAGTCTCTCGTTAGTCTCGTCTCGTCCTCGTCTATTCGAGTAGAATGTTGAATTGAAACTTTACGCCAAACTGCAAAGATCTGTCGGTTCATATCATTGAACTCAATGTGAATACCTGGAAGGGAGACTTGCCGCTTTCTCAAATAGCACATAGTGTGTCAGAAGCAGCTGCAACAAAGATAGCTTGTGTTATGGTAACCTGTCTCTTTCACACTCGTGTTGTCTAATGGCGGATTGGTGTATAAATGTTCTTTCATTCAATAATTGGAGTACTTGAGATCTTTTTTTTTACCTAAATAGGCAGAAAAAGTGAAGACGGAACTTCATTGTTTTTTGTTAAGTACAATACACGTGAAATATCGCTAAATTTGTCGTGTCTTGTTTCTACAAAAGGACTGAATTCGTTGGTGTGAATTGATTGTTGTTGAAAAGGTTTGTGATTTCGAATTAATAAACAATGGTTATTTATATATTGTTGCTTTTGGATGCAAAACAAGCAAGACAAACATAAATTGTCCTTCATGGGTAAGTCGAAAATTGTTCAGATCGATTCTGAGAAAAACTATAGTAAAATATTTCCAGGATGTGTCTGTGAATGTGTGTGTGGATGTTCACAACAATCATAACTTGAATTCTAACGACGATGTTTTTCATATAGACATTGATATGCCTACAACTTCCAGCTCCCCTCTTTCAAAGTTTATTGATAATGAAACCCACAAACTCGAGCACAAACTGTTCCATTTGAGAAGGGCTAGTCTATTGCAAAGAAAAGTGAAATACTGAAACCAAAAGAAAAAAGGAGAATGACAATATTAATGAGGTACTAGAAAACATTTTGAAGGTTAAAACTACGAGTTCAAATGTTCAAACTCAAGAGCTACATCATATTGTCTTTCCAGGTTTGCCTTTGGAGCTTCTTCTTCCCCAGATAGGAAAAAATGAAGGTGTACATTATGGGCGACACAGATATTCATCTTGATGAAACAATTCGTCCAAACATTTTATTCACCTTTCATACACCATCCAATAGTGGAATGTTCATGAAATAATAGGTACTCTTGAAATAGACCTTAGGTACTCAATACCGTTCAAGAACCTCTTTTCAAATGTTTTTTATCGTTTTCCTTTTTCATCTGATAGTGCTGAGACAAAGAGCTTCGCTCACCCTGTACAATATATTGTGACATTTGAATGAAAATGTATAATCTCAATCTTGTATTGTATTTGATTTCCTAATCCTTAATAATAAATAATAAAAAGATGAAAAAAATCAATAATAATTTTTGAATGATAATTGATTGCAACTTGCAACCTCATCCTTTTTCCTCGTATACTCTTAAATAAAAGCAAAAACAAGAAAATATTTCAAATAATGCGAGCGCTTCCCATTAGCCAACATAGAAAGATATAGGTATCCATAACCACTGCGGGTTGCCTGAACAATATTTTTTGCCTCACTCTTCATTCACAGAGGATCCCTTCCGGTTATTTATATTGAGCTCATTGGTTCATATAGTCATAGATTTGCCGCGCGGCTGTTGTCAGAAGGAGTTATCGAACCTAGCACTTCACCTTGGAGAGCCCAAGTGCTGGTGGTAGAAGGAAGCCGAAAAAAACATCTTGTGATTAACTATTCACAAACTATAAACAAGTATACATTCCTCGATTCCTATCCCTTACCAAATGTTGACAATCTAATTCGAAAAGTTGCCAGTTTCAGCCATTTCAGTACGATAGATTTGAAAAATGCTTATCACCAAATCCCAATAAGCGATGATGATAAAAATTACACAGCTTTTGAAGCCAATGGCAAATTATATCACTTCACGCGGATACCATTTGGTGTTACCAACGGAGTTGCCTGGAAACTTGAAAAATAATGTGACGTCATTTCAGATCCAATATGGCGGACCATCCAGGACGGCATAATAGTTATTTTTGATGCCCTTCTACAATATGGGTATCAAATGGAAGGGCTCGTTGAGAGCAACTCGGAAAATAATGTATAAAATCATTAGGCCTCCTAATTGAAGAGCTGGACTATTCAAAATTTACCGGCAAACGACCTTGCAACAATGATACGTTGAATGAAATGAACAGACTAAGATACCTAGCCAGCAAATTAAAAAATGAATTGAAAGTAAGAAACATTTTTATTAAATAATAATGATATCTAAAGGATCCAAAAACAATAAAAAAAAAATGTTCCTTCATGATTTCAACTATCAACTTATAACCTCATTATACACAATGTATATGATCATGAAAGCTTGACCTGTGATTTACTTGTGTCATAGATTAATCTATGCTTGTGTGAATAAACTAGTACTAATTCAATTTTGTAAAATCTGTTGAGTTTAAATTTTTGAAATTTCAATTTAATTAAATATTGATCGTCGGGACCAGATTTTATGATTATATAAATTGTGTATAGTGAGGTAATAAGTTGATAGTTGAAATATAAAGGAATATTCTATTTTCTTCTTTTTAGAGCTAAAAGCTTTTTATTAATTTTTTTTTAATTTCAATTCATTAATACTACACTGTAACCAATGTACAGGGCTAGTTTTATTAATGTGAACCCGCTTAATATTTTTTGTTTTCCACCCATCAGAAAAAAATTGATGAAGATTTCATACAATTATTTTTCATATAGGTTCCAATCATACTGACAGTGTTGCAATATCTCTTCAAATATACCGGGAATTCAGAAAATATATATGCTTTTTAAATGTAATGTGCTATATATTTTGATAGATATATATGAATCCCTTATATCATATATTTGAAATCAGGATGAATTGAGGAATCCAAATCTATCAAAATATACTGCGCATTCCATTTGAAAAAAATATATTTTTCTCTATACTTTGTATATTTGGAGAGATATTGCATCATTGTCAATATAAGTGAAATCTGTATGAAAAATTGTAAAAAAGCAGCTTAATTTCTTTTTGAATGAGTGTGAAACAAAAAAGACCTATTACTCATTTTCCCAAAGGAATGAAACATTTTCCAGTGGTTAAAAGTAGCCTATGTGCATCAGGGATAATGTGGGCTATTAATTTTGAAAGATTTTTTCAAATTGGCCAGGTGGTTTCAGAACCTATACAGTACAAACATCCAAATCTTTATAAGATATAGATACCAGGTGACACAAACTCATGGTATAGCCCCCATTTCTGGTTTGGTTTCATAGCTATATTTCTGAAATTTGGAACATCGAATATGCTCACTAGAGAGATTTTCCCAAATTTTGGAATTTTTTTTTCATATATTGGTTTTCCTGGAAAAAACATCAACTTTTGATTTTTAAATGGAATACCCTGTATTGTTTCCATTATAGGTTAGAGATTATTATAGAGAATTCAACAATATTGGGTTTGATTGGGTTATTTCAAAGGATTACCATATTACCAAGATATTCACATTCAAACAGTTTCAAGGAGCTCAATGAGTGTGACAGTGCAATATGGAAACTCTTTTCTCTCTAACACTCATTGAGCTTATGGAAACTTTGAATGTAAATGGCATCATAATCATTGGAAATAATCCAATCAAATATTGTATAAAATACAGGATGTTCCCTTTCAAAATCCAAAGTTGATGTCATTTCCAGGAAAATGGAAATGAAAATAATTTCCTAAAATGTTAGAAAGTGCCCTCTAGTGACGTCCTCTAGTGAGTTTATTCCATATTCCGAATTCCAGAAATATAACTAGAACAACAATGGAGTGTCATATGGTATAAAAAAATAGTGGCTTGTTCACTTAAAAAAATAAATAATATCCCATGAAGAGTATTGCAAAATTACAAAAAAAAATTAGGTAGTTCTCAAATTTCTCACCTGTGCAGTACCCAATTTGAGTGAAGATAATGGATTCCATCTAGAATCTGGTAAAGCAGTGACTTTACCATCCCTTTTGGAACCATCACTGGCTTCTTGTTTGCCTTAGCAGCTCTATGGAATTTTATGATATGCCACAGATCATGCTCTGCAAAATCAAAGAGCAACCAAACTTTTCTGTCATTGTGAGATAAAAATACCCTGATCAGGTTTATTACATTGGGGTGTTTTAGTTCTCTCAAGAGCTAGAACAAGGAGAAACATAAATATTCAACTAAGTACACCAACATTTCCTCAAACAAGAAGTGAACTACAGAAAATATTGTATCTATTCTTGTGTTTTATGGAGATAAAATTCACCAATATATTATGAGTTGATCATGGTTATTGTAATAAAATGTCCCTTTACATGTTCAACAGGTTGTTTACTTGGTACAGCTGATTTTAATTGACCTCCTAAAGACCTGAAGGGTATTCTCATGCATTTATGAGGGTATTCTCAAGACTTACAGCAATTTCTCTACATGCAGACATAGACAAACCAGTACCCTCAATTTGTTTGAGGGCATAGTCTTTAGTGTCCGATCCGTCTTTTCTTCGGCCTTTGTATACGTGACCGTACGTGCCTCTACCAACTTTGCATCCCTCGTAATCGAACAGATCTTCAACTTTCACCCTCTCATTCTGGGTTTTCATTTTGAACTCATAATCCATCATGAAATTTGTCATACTATGATATTATCGAATTGGAAAGCACTTGAACAAGTGCTAGATTAGTATTACTACTAGTAGAGTGTCGATTAGGGCTCAGATGTTAAGATATTATTCCTTTCAAACAAAGAATAATACTTTTAGTTTGATAATTTTTCTATGAACATTGCCAATCAAAACAACGTAAACATTGAAGATAAACAATAGCACATGGAGACTGACAGGAATATGACAGAAGACACAAAATTGGAAAAATTGGCACAAACACAAAAATACAAGTGACAGTCCGTGACAAAGAACAAATAAAGCTTGCAAACAGTTCGCGCATTGTCATCCAATATTTGGCTTCCAACGTGCTTCCAACATAAGATGCAATATAAGGAAGGTATCCTTTCTGATTTAGGGTAAAGACTACTTCTTATAAACGATTCAACTGAGATGTTTATGAGTGTCTAGGCATCTCAGATTCAACATAACTGAGCCTTAATGAACCTTCTTCTTGAAAAATATATTTTTCGAGAAATTACTTGAAACTGAGAGAAAACGACACAAAAGAGACCACTTCACAATATAATCTAACTGTGATCTAACTCTACCTAGAAAAACCTTCCACAAACTATATTCCTCGAAAAATCATTGGAGGAAGTAGGAGATACTACTTTTTAAAAACAATTCAACCTTACCCTGCCTAAATCAATCTTTTACGTAGAAAATATCCGAGAAGTTAATCGATGAAACAACATAAAAAAAAGTCCAACGCAGGGACTAAATCCCGGGCTGTAGGCGTGAGGAAATCATCCTGGCACTGTACCACGAACCCATTCACTTACAGCGAATGGGCGTGTACACCTGTGTAGAACTTTTAACTCAAACCATGTTTATAATGATCCTTTTATACATAAATAATGATTGACGACATAATTCGATCGAAAAAATTAACTGGAATGTTTTATTTCTGGACATAAATAATAGCACCTTCTGAAAACGGACCCTCTTATGACGTAGAAACCTCATCTCGCCATAGTTAAAAGAAAATACCAAACGACCGACGGAGACTGAGGCAACTGATATATTAATTCTTTCAACTGTGATCTCGCGCTAATTCACTCTGTCAGAAATCATGTATCATTCATCTCTGCCTGGAATAGTCTTGTTTCAGTATTAGGGTTTTGATGTCACATCATCGCCTCGTTTTCAGAGGTCCGAAAAATCGGGGATATCAATAATTTTTCATGGAACGTAGGGAGGTCACAGCAAGAAACGGTTTGCGGTGGTGAGCTAGTTTGGGTGAGTTCTATCGAATTATGAAATAAAAATTGTTTGTGATATAAGCCCATTCCATTGGTAAAACTGGCTCGCACTGAGTGTATATTATTTTGTATTCCATTGGTAAAACTAGTGTCGGGTTCTGAATTTCATTGAAAGACTGGTTCACATATAGTTTAGAGCTCAGTGCAACAATTCTCGAACGAGCTCTAATAGGTCGTGCGAATTTAGTGCAAATTTGGAAATGGCGGAAACATTCAATATAAATAGTTTGATCGTGATAGTTTGAAAACCAAATTGTTAGTGGCAATTTAACTATCATCATCAAATAGTGATGAAAAGTTGGAGGTTTCAAGAAAATAGAGGAGATTACTTTCCAGAATTCATAATAATGTTGAAAGTATTTTGCAAATTCAATGATGAAGAGGTACTTATCAAAACAAAGTACTTAACATTATCTCCATGAAACATTTACTTTGTTCTTCTCAATTGGAGTTCAGAAAGAATTTCAGGATGCAGACAAGTTATGAACAAAGACATACCCACTTATCCGATTCAACCTCCAACAATAATTTTGTTATAATATCATTTCATATTCCATTGTGGATGCACCAGTTCACATTTTGAAGAGAACTAACGTAGTGCATGTGGAGAACTGGTGCAAAACCAGTGCACCACCAGGTTTACGAATGGAATTAGCAATTTACGTTGGAACCTGGAACAACCAATCGAATTTCACATCATGTGCACAGTGGTGCGATGAAAGCCAGAATATTAGATGTAGTCTAAGGAAACTGAATACAGGCACTCGTCAAGACTGCACAATAGTTTGTTTTGCCCAGACATCCGTGCAGAAAGGCGATTACTGTCAAAAAACCTGTGCAGGCGCGTATCTAAGGGAGGGGTAGAGGGGTTAATTACCAGGACACAGAAGTTTACTGTTACTCAAATATATAACTATTATCAAAAACACATCATTAACCCTATTATCACAGTTAATAGAATACAAATATCACTTAGCGCAGTCTCCGTCGGGCGTTTAATATTTGCAGATAAAAAACGTGCCGCTGACAGCTGCACTAATTTGATTTACGGCGTCTTTACGGGGTACTTCCAAACGTAAGTTGATATCGCCTGGTGAACATTAGTGTACGAGGGGTAACGCAAACTGAAATAAGGAGTCTGTATTAATAAGAAATATTTAATGTTGAGTTTCAGAAAATGAAGAAAACATATGGGTATATCTTCATTAATTTTTTATTGTTTCAATGTCACGGTTTATGAATTTTAATTTATAATATATACGTACTCGTGTATACAAACTCACGAAATAATCGAACGGAAAGTTTTCACAGGGATGAATATAATTCAATTTAATTGAATTTTGAGCCAATTTCTTCCCCGAGGGGCAAAGTATTGAAGGTATTTAGAAACATGTCTTCTAACTATAAAACAAAATCGACAATATCTTTGGATGGCCCTCTCAATCCACCAAATGGAGATTTCTTATTCTCATATTATGCCTCAAGTTTGCAAAATAAAAGTTCTTCATTGATAAGGTCGGTATTGTTCAAATAATTAACACATACTCCACAAGAGTACTGCAACAAAGCTTTTTTCAGGAGATAGCCTATTATATAAACCTTCCGGACTCTTGATGTTCGCATAATCGTTGGTAAAAACTCTCAACGGAGTATAGGTGGGTGTAGGCAAGAAAATAACATCACTGCAACACATCTATACAATTTGCACCATCAGCAGTATCTAAATATTTCAGTGCGAATATTTTCTTGAATGATCTGCTGAATTTTACAGGTGTACAGTGACGGCTCGTCAGGGACGGCAGGGTCGGCCGGGCCGTACCAAATAATTTGGGGAAAATTACTGAACTATTTGATGAATAAAATTATTTTCCGAAACTGTTTTCATAATTCATCGCTCATTATCCTACTGTTATGCCACTATTATTTGAATTTCATTCATGGAACCTTTGAGTATGCCATCCGCATATACACCGAAAATCACGAACTGATTCAGGACCTACGACATCTGGTAATCCCATCGTCAAAACGCCGCTTTCAGTCGAAACGCTCGCGTAGCTCATTACACTGATGCAGACGGCCGGCCGATCGGTGATTTCATGTCTCGACATGGTCTCGACGCATCGCCACAGGCATCGCCTACAGATTCCCCGCTTCAAGTTTAAATTTTCGCTTATACGCGTCATACCTTGGGTGCGGCCAAGCTCTGCTGGCCGTCCAACGTATCGATCGTACTTATCAGTATCAGTTGTTTGCAGTGCGCTCGCTGTGCACCGTATCGAACCATTCCGACCTAATTTTTAATATACGGATTGGCATGATTGACATTCTATTTTCATTTTACATTGTAGGTATTTATAATTTTAATTCCTATACTTATTTGTAAGTTGATGTTGGAATTTGAAATGTACAAACTGAAAAGAAAAATAATTTCCATGTTTTTGTTTACGCTTGCAGTAGTTGCAGTAAAAATGACTGGTGATTTTTGAATTTGCAATTTTTCAGTAATTCATAATTCAACATATCCATCTAATATTGGTATCAGAATTTTCCTTCAGTGCTTCTGAGCGTCAATGAGTTATAATTCAATTTGAATATTGCTGTAATGTAACCTACTGTGCCTCTGCCTATGTAGGTAATATGGCAAGAAAAATGTCAGCAGTCCAAGAGCTGAGTAGGTATTGAAACATCGTAAAAAAGCTCTGGTGACGAAAATGTAATAAATGTATTACTTCCAGAATATCATTTATTTTCAAAGACGCATGTAGCGGTTATAAACTACCTAAATAATATTTATGCATCCATCGCATCGCGGGAAACATTATACCTACGGCTGCACCCTGCACGCGGGCTCGGCCAGCCGACTACGAAGGAGTGGGGTCAGTGGGGTGGCTTGTTACAGGAACGGCGTAGAGTCGATTAGAGAGATTTTTTTGAGTTTACATTACGTTTTCAACAGAATAGAAATATTTTTTGTTCACGAGTTATTTAATTTTTATTTTCTTTTATTTTTTCGACTTTCTTGTTATTATTTTTTCATATCAACTAACCCTTATCCACCTCCTTTTTCTTTCCCCATTTCCCCTGGCGAGAATGCTCTAACCTCGTGGTTCTTGCTGGACAATTTAATTTTTTGGTTATGTGTACAGGGTGATTCACCATAAATGTCCCCTCCTCTAGCTCAATTATTTTTAAACCGATTTCAAAATTTGAAATTTCATCTTGAATGATTTTTGATTGAGTTTTTTTCCGCTACATCAGAAAATACAGGGTGCTCAGAACAAACGATCTACAGGGTACCATTTGATTTTTTTATATGGAACACCCTATTTTTCATTGTATTTTTAGATTCTCCCTGAAAAGCTGATTTGCTCAATGTATCACACTTGGGGTCTATCGGGAATGATTACAGAGATATAGGGTGTTCAAAATCGAGATTTTTCAACTTTAGGATTTTTTTGAGACGAAACTATTCATCATCGGTCAAAACGGCTTTCATGTCCATATCTCAACTTTTGATTTACTATCTACTGACATTTAATAATTGGAACAGATACAGGGTGATCAGAATTCTGAATCTTGAACCACCCTGTAAATGTTCCAATCAAATCTCAATAGACAGTTAATCAAAAATTAAGATGGAAACATAGGAGCCGTTTCGACCAATAATGAATAGTTTCGAGACAAAAAAATCCTAAACTTGAAAAATCTCGATTTTGAACACCCTATATCTCTGTTATCATTCCCGCTAGACCCCAAGTGTGATGCATTGATGAAATCAGCTCTTCAGGAAGAATCTAAAAATACAATGAAATACAGGGTGTTCGATTTGGAAAAATCGAGTAGTACCCTGTAGATCATTTGTTCCTGATGCAACGGAAAAAAAAATTCTGAGAAATCATTTTAGATCATCCTTCAAATTTTTAAATCGGGTCAAAAATAAGTGAGCTAGAGGGAGAAAGGACAATCATGGTGAATCACCCTGTACATGCTTATTTGCCATCGAACTTCACTCAAGCCGCTGACCCACTTACGTTCGCATTTTAGAGCAATATCTATACCCTGGCCGACCCAGGTTCTGAGGGCACGAGCCGTCACTGCAGGTGTATAGGATTCTGAGCATTACTAGGTACTACAATTTCTAATTTGGCCGGAAAAATTTTCAATGCAGTCCTGATTGAGATTACGAGTGAATAAGTATTTATATCCATTGGCTTTCAGTGTCTCCCATAACATCAAAACTGACTTGATTGTCATTTTCCATCCGTATAGAAATTTCAACTTTTTTGTCACATTTTTTCCGTCCCAAGGTAAAACATTCGAGTTTTCAAAAACAGTAGACATTTCTTTCAGTAATTTTCGCTGCTGTTCAGTACCCATAAAGGATTGAAATTTACTCAAATAATTTGAATTCAATAAATCAAAAAAATTGTTCATTTTCAGGATGAAATTTGCTGTGGTGGATGCTTCTGTCGGTAAAACATTGAACTGTATATAAGTATGCATGGCTACCCCTACGGAATGGCTGAAAATTTTCGATGCCAGATTCCCTTCCATTTTTTGAAAGTTATTGGGGTGAATATGGTCATTTGTTAATCGGGGAGCAAGTTTGAATTGTTTAGTTTTATCGGTATTGAACATCATTTCCAAATATTACTTTTTTGCTTCACCTTCATGCAACAAAAATATATGAGAAAAAAATTGTTTCTTGTTGACTTCAACAAGTGTGGTATATCAAATAAATAAAATAGGTTCATATCATCAACGAAAAATGAGGGATTATTTTCTGTGTGTTTGAGAGTGCTCTTGATTAATTTTAATCTCGATTTTAATACGAAATTGATCACAAAAACAAATTTATCCAAAGACACCGTGTACAATGCGCTATTAAACGATGCAATGCGGCAGTCGGCATACTGCCAGTAGTATGCCCGAGTCGACGGGGCAGGGGGAACGATGTTTTGAACTTCTGGGAGAGTGCACTAACTGATATACATATTTGTATTCTTTTTTTTTTGTCCAGTATCAAGTATGGTACCCATTGGATGACCATATAAGAGTATCATCATTGGTACCACTTTTGCCACTTTTGAATAATATTTTGTCATTTTTGTATCTTCGATTTTGTTTGACAAATTATATGATGCTGGTGAAGATTTCATTTGGCCTATATGATATGTTTATTAATGTGTGATTTGATCAAAGATATACTTCAAATAAGACCGAAAAATGTTTTTTGTGATTTACCAATGTATGTACCTACCTCACAATACCGAATGTAATTTTAAAGGAAAATTCATCTTCATTTTATTTTTCATAATGTGCTTTTTTATTCTAAACAGATTTCAGAAAATGACGAAATATGATTGAAAATGTCGCTAGATCACGGTAAAATGTCGCTATATTTCATCTCGCTTTGCTCGCTATAGCGACTTCTAGCGGTTTTTTTAGCAGCTGGCAACACTGACCCCGGCAGTAGCCGTCGATCCGTTCGTTGATGACGGCCTAATTTATGATTTATCTTTTTTTATGTTGTCAGTTTTAATGTTCTGATTGATTAAACAAGTAATAAGATGACCTTATAATATAGGATTGTGTGTACCGGCACCAGCACTATATTTGTTCCCATATTCACAGGTTGTTTTGTTCATTTTTGTACTTAATAATACTCATTATCAGGTTTAGGTATGTGAATACTGAATACCTAGTCATTATTTTCATGTTGTTCCAAGTATTGTTCCTTTTTTATTGTGATCTTTTTTCGTTGTCGTAACTACCTACCAACCTTTTCCTGAATTGGATTACCCCTTCCCCACAGAGGAAATGGCCAGATACGCCACTGAACCTGTGCCTTTTATTATTGTCTGATTGATTGTGGACGTGAATCTGGGCAAAATGAAGTCATACTAATTAAACCCAGGTGAAAAAAAAAACAAACAAAAAAGAAGAAGAGGAAACTGCTCTGTTCTTCTGTTTCCGCTTGTGGGATTGACAGATGACATATGATTGAAACGTGTTCTTTTTAACCTCTTTTGTGAAGTAGACGATCGTTCATTACTGTAAGATATTGTTTTTTCAACATTTTATCTATATTTCGAGGATTTTATTGAATTGTTCTGGTAGAGTTTGTCATAATTAAAATTGTAATACGGAAATATAATTTTATAATTGTCTAATAATGCTCCGTTGAACTTATAATATTAATTGATATCTGTTCTGCATTGTGACCGTTTTGAATTTTGTAGGTGAAGCAAGTACATTTCCAAGATGCAGTTGTGTATTCGAGGACAAAATACTCATTTTCTTGAGTGTCAAGAATCTGAAACTATTGGACAAATCAAGGTGAGATTTTTTACAATGATTGATTCTTCCTCTAGTAGAGCACTATTGAAGCAGAACTCTCCTCAAGTGATTGTCTCTATTGAAATCATTTAGTTAATAGGTGTACCTAACTAATCTCTGATATGTGTTCTCTTTTAAATGTTTCAAGCACTTTGTTTTTCAGGGGCGCATTGCTTCTTTGGAATCTTTGAAAGATTCTGAAATCAGTCTCTATGCTGCTGGAGTCCCAGTTTCTGAAGACAGCCTTGTTTCCTCCTTTGAAAATGTTGCTATTGAGTTGACTGTTGGCCTTCTTGGTGGTAAAGTGCATGGATCTTTGGCTCGTGCTGGTAAGTAGATTTCCTTTCACTAACTAATATATGGAGTTAAATGTAAAAAACTCGAAAAATGGTAAGATTTCTACCAAATTCTTGATCACAGGACATGTTTCCTGACATGATAGCTTCTTCAAGTGAACTGAAGTGTTAGGAAAACTTGTCCTGTGATTGTCAATGTTGTAGAAATCTTATTAATTGTGAAGGTTTTTACATTTACTATGGATTTCCATCATGTAACAACTCAAGATGAAAAGCTAGTCTGCTCTTGGTAACCATTTCTCCTGAGATTGCTGATAAAGTATTTTTTGAACAGGTAAAGTGAAGGGTCAGACCCCCAAAGTAGAAAAACAGGAAAAGAAGAAGAAGAAGACTGGCAGAGCAAAGAGGCGCATCCAGTACAACAGGAGGTTTGTCAATGTGGTGGCATCTTTTGGACGCAGGAGAGGACCAAATTCCAACTCTGCACCTGCTTCCTAGGTTGGACATAGATATGTAGCTTCTTAAGTTTGACATACCTAAATTATGTAGCAGCAGGATATCTTTGTTGCTTGAAAATAAATACTTTTCATTCATAATTTGGTTTTTTATTTAGAAATTTAAATGATGTTGATTTCAACTATGAAAGTGAGTACCTATAAAACAAATCTGTAGATATGCTGGAAGTAGATAAAAAATATATGAATTTTGTGAAGTTTTAAGAATATTTTGAAATGCATGGGTCATCCTTGAACTAATACTGATTTTGGTTAGGCAATATCAGCAAAATGTATTTTTTGTGGGGTATCTTTGTTGCTTGAAAATAAATACTTTTCATTCATAATTCTTTGTTTATTTACAAACTGAAATTATGTTTATTTCAACTATGAAATGAGTATTTGATATACAAAGAAGTAGATATGCTGGAAGGGATCAAAAATATATGAATTTTGTGAAGTGAGAATATTTTGAAATACATTGATCATTCTTGAACAAATACTGATTTTGGTGGTTCACATACACAATATCAGCAGAATGAATTTTTTTTGTGGGGCTAATGTGCTTGAAATATTGGGTAAATTGATGTGTATTGTATGATGAGAAATGATCCTCTTGTACAGGGTGATTGGCTTTTTATATTGAGAGTTTGGAAAACTACTTCATTTCCATACCATACTGTATTGGAAGTTATTTTGTAGTAATTTCTTGGATACCCTGTATAACTAGTTTGAAAAGTTGTAGAATGGGATTTTTTCTATATTTATATATATGAGATGAAAAATGTGGAGAAATAAAAATCAAAATGTGTTTAATCTGTGAATTCCATGTGATGTATGGAGTAATCTCCATTGTATCAATTATAATCAGAATAAATTGACTCTTGACCATAAATAAAATATAATATACCATCTTAAATATATAATTATGGGGTACATAATAGTATACCTACTATAATATATGACTTAAAGAATAAATTCAAACAATATGCCTTCATCAGTTAGTAGGCACATAAATTAATTAGTATAACTATGTATGAAATTGATAGCATTTCTACATTTTCAAATTTAATAAACAATGAGACTGTGCCAACAGTTACAAATACAGCAGGAAAGGAATAAATATATCACATTTGTTACTCAGTAAGTCTAGTTTTATGTTTGATTTCAAACATATGGATTCCAGTTACTTCCATCTTCTGGGGTGAGATAGTTTGTCACTAGAAGTACTACATCCACAATCCACCAAATTCCTAGACCACCAATTGTCAATAGTTTACCAACAGCAGTACCAGTCTGACCTAAACAAAATCTGTCCATACCCAGAAACCCTAACAGAATGCTATAAAGCAATGTGGTGGTGAAGTACTGGTTTGAGTACTTGATGCAAGGAACACCTTCTCTGAAGAAGGTCCTGTTGCCAAAACATTCAATGTTTTGTAAAGCTGTACATAGAACTTTTGTCTTCTCAACGTCATGGTACTTTTTTCCCCCGAATTTGATGCAGCCGTACCGCATTTCATCTCTGGCGGTTTTGTTACCCTTATGGTCTACTGGATCTGTGCATTGAATGAACTCTAATGGAAGGAAACTACACTTTACTAAAGGGCCCAATGGGTCGAAAACCTGCGTTTCTTGTGATTCGCTGCTCACGACCGTGAAGAATATTAGATTCAATATGATCCTGAGAGAGAATTCTAAATGGAGCATCTCTTTATTTGAGATTCACTGATTAGAGTTCACCACTGTAATCAGAAAATCAAAGTTAAATTCTTCATCTCTTTCTTGTTGTTTGTTGTTGTTTAATCTAACCTCAAAAAATGCCTAACTTCATGAGTGCTTACAGACAGTTACAGCACCGTCATCCAATATTTGGCTTTCAACGCACTGTGCACACTATCAACGATGCCAGATGCCAGATTGTTGCACTTGGCATCTTACGTATAGATTATCACAGTGAGTCAACCGTCATCATACCACGCCTGCCGCATGAGGGTCAGTCCTTGCGAAGGACAACTTCTTTTCATCAATTTTGTTGTCTCAAGTAATTTCCGAAAATATTGTCTTCGATCCCAGTTAGGTTAGATTGTTCAGACAAAATGATCACTGTTGGGGCGTGTTTTTCACTTCATTCCATCGAAGAAAGTGCGCACTGATAGATGCGGTTTTTTGTCGTGACGTCACCAATTGTTCTGTTGGAATTTATGCTGGAAGGATTGAACAATGGTTTATACAAAACATTGATGGAAACACGGATTTTGTTGTGTGTCAGTCATCATGTATCTTGAGAATCAGAAAAGGCTAATTCGACTTTATTGATTAACACTGACTCTTTCTTCTAAAATCTCTCAAAAATCTCAAAAATCCTCAATACTAATTGTTTTCTATCAAATCAAAACAAAAAACAACAATAAAATGTGTCAACTGTCATGTCAATCTCCTCCAAACTGCTGGATTCTCGAAATGCGATTTAAAAGTGCGCATTTTATTACAACAGTTTGATGGATGTCCATCAACATTCCAGCGGAATTTTGCAACAGTTTGATGGTTTCTTCGATTCATGCGCATGATAAAATGTTGGAATGAAAAACGCACCCTTGTTCTCTCTAGGGTCCCTTGATGGAAATTGACGTTAAAGTCATCTTAACAGGGTACGGACAGATCCTCGTCTCCTCTCACTCTAAAATGTTTGTGAAACAGTTATATAGTTCCATCCTTATTCAATTCTGGGGATAAAACACTAGATTTTTGACATTCGTTGTTTTTTAGGTTATATTGCGGTCACTGGCGTATCATACGTAATTTCCATATGGAATTCCTGATTCAACTATACCAAGATATAGATGAACAATCCTCTAGTTTTAGAGTTTACTACTCCAGCATAATCTTTGCGATTTGGGGAACTTATAAATTGTACTGAAAGCTTGATATATTTCACCAAAAGAGACTGTTCTTGGACTGTGCTAAATATATTTTCAGAAATCCAACTCGGAGAAAAAGACCATGTATAAAACTTCGTCTAGGACGAACAGTAAGCTGATACAAATTAATACGGAAAATGTGCAGGAAAATGAAGAAAAGCAGATTATACTTTACCCCATGTTAAAAGTCATTTTCGAATAATTTATTGATGACAGTAACAAAGAAGTAGGTATACGCTAAGTATGCGCAGTATAACTTATAGGCACGTTATTTTCCCCCTTGCATCCTACATATTTTCTATTTGTGGTAGAGTAATAATTATATAAACTAATGTCCTTCGCCATATTGGATCCACCATCTCGAATATCCCAATTTTGACGAAATAATTATAATCTCCGACCCCGGAAATCCCGATATACCAATTTTGAATTTTTGAATAGAATCGGATCATAATTACAAGTTTCGTTTGCCATATTGGATACGCTATCTTGAATTTCCCAATTTTGACAAAAAATCATAAAGTTCGAACCCGAAAACCCTCAGATACCAATCTTAAATAAAATCAGATCATAATTAGAAATTTCTTTTGCTATATATTGAATCCGTCATCTTGAATTTTCCAAGTTTGACGAAACAATCATCAGCTCCAACCCCGGAAAACTCCACATACAGTTCTCGAAAACACAAAGCATTGGCTGAGCCAGTTTTACACGACTAGAACTAGGATCCCGAAATCCTCTCTTTTTGATACTTGTACGCTATTTTATTGAATACGACTGTACCTTCCAATTTTGAATAGAATCGGATCAATAATAATTATAAAACTCGTTCGCCATATGTTCTTCCTCAACAAGTAAATACCCTGTACATACCTATTACTAAGATTTTGAAAGATTTTATGTAGCGCCCATAGATATGTGACTAGAGTCCCAGTATATAACTTAGACAAGAGTCCGGACACAAACCGTTCATAGCCGTAGGTAGAAGTGAGAAATAGGGCTATTAGATATTCGAATAATGAACAACAGGGTGTTCTAATTTCAAATCGATAATTTTCATAATCAATTCCTGAGATGGCTATTGCAAATTTTTGTCATCAGATATTTCTTCACTTCATTAGATATAAGAAAGATAATTTAAGTGTTCTACGTGGTATCACATATAGCCAAGAAAATATAGTTGTTTTCTGTTGGGATATAAAAAAATAGAAGATATATAATTGTTTCAATATAATGGGCGTGTACACCTTGGTAGAACTTTCAACTCAAACTATGTTTATAATGATCCTTTTATACATAAATAATGATTGACGACATAATTCGATCGAAAAATTAACTGGAATGTTTTATTTTTGGACATAAATAATAGTACCATCTGAAAACGGACCCTCTCTTATGACGTAGAAACCTCATCTCGCCATAGTTAAAAGAAAGTAATAAAAGCCCGACGGAGACTGAGGCAACTGATATACTAATTCTTTCAACTGTGATCTCGCGCTAATTCACTCTGTCAGAAATCATGTATCATTCATCTCTGTATGGAATAGTCTTGTTTCAGTAATAGGGTTTTGACGTCTCATCATCGCCTCGTTTTCAGAGGTCCGAAAAATCGAGGATTTCAATAATTTTTTATAAAACGTAGGGAGCTCACAGCAAGAAACGGTTTGCGGTGGTGAGCTAGTTTCGGTGAGTTCTATCGAATAATGAAATAACAATTTTTTGTGATATAAGCCCATTTTCTCCGATTCTCTCAATTGAATAACACTCATCAGAAATAAAAGTGACAAAATCAAAACAACAATATATTTGATAGCGAGTGCTTTATCGATTGTGTTTCCCACCTCTTCCTGCAGTCTATATTCACCTGTACATTTTGAATTTGATCTGATTTAATAACACCGTGGACTGATGATATAGCACATTGCAGTTTCCCTAAATCTTCTAGTTTTGATTTCAAACTTTCAATTTCTTTCCGCATCATCCCATTCTCATTTTCTTTCTCTGCGAACGTAATTCCCAATTCGATGACGACGGGACTCTTTTTTTGAACGTCTCTATTTCATAAATTGACGGCACAGCAGACTCTTTCAATTTGAACTCCATCAGTTTGAAAAAATCTCTATCAAAATGGGCCTAAAATTCATCCTTTTTGTACTGTTTTCACAAGTAAATTTGAATATTTACCTCACATATTGCGGATTTCTTGAAATTAATTTTCCATTCTGGACATTTTGCATTCTTCCATGACATATTGTCTTTGAAGGATCATTCGGAGAATTGAATAACTTGAATCCCTTTTCTAATGAATTATCGCAATAATGTACGCAGCAGGACATTGAAATAATTTAAAATGCTAAATATTGGCGGTCATAAAATTTCAAAGTGACAGTGACATGGTGTTTCGTCACATTGTCAGGTGGGCAAACCAAATGAAACAAAATATTAAAAACCCCAACGGCTGTCAGTTTTGTGTCCGGACTCTTGTCTAAGGTATATACAGGGCATATACGTATTAATAATCAATACGGATAATCTCTATCTGTTTCCATAGCGAAACATGAAGACGATTTTTGAAGACAAATGACTATCCATAAGAAAAAGTTTTGAAACGATCAGACACATAATGCTTTGATTGAAAGGCTAGTAAACGTCAGTGTCCACCGAAACGCATGTCTTTGATGACTACTATAATAGCGCATGGCGCATGCGTATCATGCCACCAAATCCTTATGGATATTCATTTGTTTCATATTTTTGGCTTCATCCTGGCACCCGTTATGATCCGTATTGTTTATTAATACGTATATGATACAGGGACTCTAAATGTGACGCGACAGCAATGTCAGGGATGCCAGTAGACAAAACTAAAATCTCTAGATCATTAAAAAAGAATGCAGCTATGATCTGTCCTAGAGAGAACTAGGGTCCCTTGATGGAAATTGACGTTAAAGTCATCTTAACAGGGTACGGACAGATCCTCGTCTCCTCTCACTCTAAAGTTGCCAATCACATTATTGATTCTAATCACTCCTTTGATGTCAATATTAATTCAGAAATTCTTCACATCTGCGATAAGGGTCCTAGGTTAAATCTTCTTGAAATTTTGGAAATTCAAAAATGCATTAATAATCAAAATGTTTCATGTCTCAATGATCAAACTAATTTTGAACGTAATCATATTTTCAGAACATTACATTTTTCATAATTTCTGCTCTTTCCATTCTGGTAGTTGCTACCCCGCCACTGGAGTTTCCGAAGTAACAATTTTCTCCTCTTCTTCTTCTGTTTCTGTCTCTTGTTTCTCCACTAGATGCTACACTTACTCCTCTTCTTGTTTCTTTGACCTTTCTATTTTCTCCTCTTCTCCTTGGTTTCTCTTCACCTTGCCTTCTTTCTTCTTTTTCTTCCCCTTTTCTTCTTCCTTTTTATGTACTTACTTCTCTAGTTCTGTTGTTAGTCTATAACCTTCACTCTTGTTTGTTGTTCCATGTACAACTGTCATTTGTCAAAGTCTGTGTTGACCATCAAATTTGTCTTATTCTGTTATTGCTTTTAGCTTAGCATGTTTCAAATTTATAAAAAACAATTTTTCGGATAAGATGTTCAACCTTATCAGAGCCAGTTTTTTCTGGCTCTTTAGTAAATTTAAAAAAAAATTAGTCATTTGTGTCTGAGCCTGATAACCCGGTGATGAATCTCCTGCCATACAACATGATTTTGCCTTTCTCAACTTAATTTTTAATAATGTTATAGTGTGCCCATAATTTTGTCGGTAGGTTTTGTATTCCTTCCTTCTTCATACTGTTTTTATCTAATTTATATTTACAGGTACTTTTTGTCTGATGGCCGTTTTGCCGAAACCGGTAACATGTATTTGACGATATAGTGTTATATAAATGTGTGGTCGACTGACTTTGAGTCTTTTGTTTTTCTTTTGTCACTCTAAAGTGTTTGTGAAACAGTTATATAGTTCCATCCTTATTCATTTCTGGGGATAAACACTAGATTTTTGACATTCTTTGTTTTTTAGGTTATATTGAGGTCCCTGGCGTATCATACGTAATTTCCATATGGAATTCCTGACTCAACTATACCAAGATATAGATGAACAATCCTCTAGTTTCAGAGTTTACTACTTCAGCATAATCTTTGCGAGGTAGGGAACATATAAATTGTACTGAAAGCTTAATATATTTCACCTAAGATGCGAGACATCTCAATTTCACCAAAAGAGACTGTTCTTAGACTGTATAGGTACCAGGGTTGATTGAATTGACTGAATGAATTCTGATTTCAAGCTGAGCAGTGGTTTATCTTTGAGCTGAATAAGCAGAGCCTTATGATTAAGAAATGGTGAAAACCTCGATGTGGGTATCTAAACTACTGTGCTCATGTCATGTGTGCTAAATATATTTTCGTAAATCCAACTCGGAGAAGAATTTATGGAGTTACTAATATCACACTATGTCTAGGACGAGAAGTAGGCTGAAAAAAGAATATAATTTACCTGATTCTTCCGTCTCCCTACAAGTCATTTTCGAATAATTTATTGATGAAAGTAACAAAGAAGTAGGTATACGCAGTATAACTTATAGGCACGATATTTTCACTTTTGCATCCTACATATTTTCTATTTGTGGTAGAGTAATAATTATATAAAATAATGTCTTTCGCCATATTGGATCCGTCATCTTGAATTTTCCAATTTTTACGAAACAATCATTATATCCTACCCAGAAAACCACCAGATACCAATTTTGATAGAATCGGATCTTCATTACCAAACTCGTTAGCAATATTGGATCCGCTATCTTGAATTTCCATAGAAATGATAATATTATTATTTCTATGTGAATTTCCCAATTTTGACAAAAAAACATGAAGTTCGACCCCGAAAACCCTCAGATACCAATAATATAGAATCAGATCATAATTAGAAATTTCTTTCGCTATATATTGGATCCGTCATCTTGAATTTTCCAAGTTTGACGAAACAATCATTATCTCCAACCCCGGAAAACCCCAGATTCCTTCCAATTTTGAATAGAATCGGATCATAATTACAAAACTCGTTCGCCGTATAATCTTCCTCAACAAGTTAATACCCTGTACACACCTATTATTAAAATTTTGAATGATTTTCTGTAGCGCCCATGGATGTGACGTGACAGCAATGTCAGGGATGCCAGTAGACAAAACCAAAGTCTCTAGATCATTAAAAAAGGATGCAGCTATGATCTGTCCGTACCCTGTTAAGATGACTTTAACCCATAGTAATTTCTTCCAAAAAACGACCAATTTTGAGCTACAAATATCTATTTGGGGACGTACAAATATTTCACGTTTGAAGCCACTCATGAAATTACGAAATAAAACAGTAAAGTGCATTTTCAATTCACCTTTTTCAGAATCAACTGTAAATCTTTACAAACCTCAAGACTTGCTGAATCTAGTTTCATAAAGGGCGCCGTACATTATGCTATTTACCAGCAAGTTCGATGCACTGCAATTTTTAATCGAACAATGCGCATGCGTCTATGATATTTCACGGCAAGTTCCATGCAAGATTCGTAATGAAACCAGTCCTATTTTTCCTGCAATTTCAAGGCAAGTTTAGAAAAATCTTTAAGGGCGCCGTACATTATGCTATTTACCAGCAAGTTCGATGCAATGCAATTTTGAATCGAACAATGTGCATGCGTCTATGATATTTCACGGCAAGTTTCATGCAAGTTTCGTAATAGAAACAGTCCTATTTTTCCTGCAATTTCAAGGCAAGTTTAGTAAAATTTTTAGCAATATTCATCGTAGCATCTTGATAAAATACAAATATTCTCCATACGTGGCCTGAAACACCAAATAACCTCAAAAAGTACATTGACGGCTCAAAAAACCTGAAAATAGTGAATATGAACAAGAAAATGTGACAGAAATATCTCAATGTACGGCGACTCGCAATAAATTGAGGAAATTACGAGAAAATTGCATTGCCTCAAACTTGCCGAGAAATAGCATAATGTACGGTGCCCTTTAGTGATATTCATCGTAGCATCTTGATAAAATACAAATTTTCTTCATAACGTGGCCTGCAACACCAAATAACCTCAAAAAGTACATTGAAGGCTCAAAAAACCTGAAAATAGTGAATATGAACAAGAAAATATGACAGGAATATCTCAATGTACGACGACTTGCAATAAATGCAGAAAATTGCGAGAAAATTGCATTGCCTCAAACTTGCCGAGAAATAGCATAATGTACGGCGTCCTTTATATAAACTCAATATTTGTTGTTTCATTCATTTTGTCAGGAAGGAATTGAAAATATCAAATTTGAATTCCAATGAAGCTAATACGATTCACGCCCATGAAACAATAAGGCAATTTAATTTATTGATAGCAAATAATTAGTATATGCCAAATTTCGGTGAACAATCAATATTCCATAGTGGAAAAATCTTATATATAATTACTTACTCACCAAATGAGTTGAAAAATATTGAAGCAGAAAAATTTGAAATCAATTTCAAAAAATATCTGCTCAGTAAACTTCAATTCCATATCTACTAATCTTTAATATTGAGGCAGGCAGCATAGGGTTCTGGTTATTGCTTTATGATGCTGGATCTCCAAACAATAAACTTTGATAAAAGGAGGATGTGCAATTATTTCTAGAAGCAGGAGTAGTTACATTTTGCAGTAGTCAAGGTCATCATCTAATTTTGCGATGACATGAAATTTTAAACGCCACGTCAGATATGATGACCTTGACTACCGCGAATAAAACTGCATATTTTAGCTCTCATAAATATCTTATTTCAACATTAGAAGAAGGGAGAAATATAATTGAAAAATAGCCATATCCAATAGATTTATGATAGGGAAGAAAAAGAAAACAGAAAAAACTCAGTTGTTTATTCTTCAATCTGAATCTTAAACTCTAAATTGCACAACTCTAGGTTTTTTCTTCTTAGATTCCCACTCACTAACCTTATTAATGGGAATAAGGAGTATTCCACTCAGGAAGAGTGCACTACCGGCGAAAACGAAGCAGTTGCCGTACGATCCGCTCACATTCTGTATGTACCCACTCAGCGGTATTCCGACGAAGCTCGCCAGACCATAGAACAGTATCGTGATGCCGAAAGCGTTGGTGAGGTTATCCAATCCCAGCATGTTTGCCAGCACCACAGTGCGCAATGTCGTGAAACTAGCTTGAACATAATCAGTTTGATATTTATTGGTAACAGGAAATAAAGTTACATCATTTTAATATAACGAGCTAGCAATAATATGATGAATAATTACAAATCAACAACGAAATAGCCAAAAATGCTCAAAGAGGAATGAAATGTTGAATGAATACGAAACTCAAAGTCATTTCCACACAATGTTCATAAGATGAACAATAATGGCAGATTTCGAGAGAACAACTACTTTCCTAGTTAATGCCACGCAGAACATTGAATTACATCAACAATTCAATGTTTCCTGGCTAATTCCACGCAGAAGATCATCGGACATGGTCGGATTCAGAGAACCATCTGTGTGTCTAGAAGCTTGTCCAAATTCTATACTGTTGATGCTAGTAGGGAGACGGATCGAGGTACACATGATCTTTCTCTATTATCTATCGTTCAGTTCTGCTTCTCATCGGTATCTACCTTTTGGCATTCTGTTTGTACTATTATCAAGAATCAAGAAAGCATCTCGCTAGCAATACTCAGCAACGCATACACCGAAAATACTGACGAAGAAAAGCTGCCGTAGAAGTTCTGGATGAAACCGAACGCGACTGTAATGAGTCCGCCGCGTTGAGCACCCAGCTGACGACTAGCGCGTCCATCTTGGAAAAGATGGATACGATGCCGCATTCTACCATGCTTCACGTTATATTTCTCTATTAACTGTTCCAGCTTAACCACCTCACCACGTTGGCCCTGCCCGTCGCAGGGAAGAGCAGATTGACGAACAAGATTGAGCTAACAAGTTTTTACAATACGCAACCTCAGAAGTACACCTGAGCTTCCTATATTGTGTGTCATTTGGTCCTACTTTTGACATTTTATTTCTACTACCACCTAAGTGCAAGAAGACACCCCACTAGCAATATGCAGCGACGCAAACACCGAAAATAGTGGAAAGCTGCCCGTTGGAGTTCTGGATCAAACCGGACGCCACAGTAATGAGTCTGCTGAGCACCAGCATCACCCGGCTGACGACCAGCGCGTCCATCTTGGGAAAGATAAAGACTATTCGGCATGCCACCCTGCTCACCAAGGTTGCCCCGCTGATTTCCGAAAGGAGGAGGGTGAAAGAAAAAAGATAACTAACAAGTTGCTTCAATACGCAACCTCAGAAGTATTTAGTTCTCCGGTTCATCCCCACTTTTGAACATCCCATTCCTACTATTATTTAAGTGCAAGATGACATCTCGCTAGCAATAATACTCACCGACAAAAACTTCGAAAATGATGATGAAGAAAAGCTGTCCGTTGGAGTTCTGGATCAACCCGGACGCGACAGTAATCAGTCCGCCGAGCATTAGCGTCAGCCAGCTGACGACCATCACGTCCACCTCGGGGAATATGGAGATGATGCCGTACACCATGCCTACGACGTTGGCACCGCCCATCTCCGAAAGAAGGAGGGTGACAGAAACATTTTTGCTAACCAGTTACAACAATACGCAACCTCAATCTTTCTCTAATGTGTCATTCAGATTTCCCGTTGCCCATCACGACCTCTCGACATTTTATTTTTACTATTATCTAAGGGCAAGAAGGTATTTTGCTAGATACTCACCGTCACCAAACACCAAAAATACTGACGAAGAAAAGCTGTCCGTTGAAGTTTTAGATGAACCCAGACGCGACAGTAATGAGTCCGACCAGCACCAGCGTCACTCAGCTGACGACGACCAGCGCCTTCATTATGGAAAATATGAATATAATGCCACACGCCACCCTGCCCCCCCGCTACGAGTGATTTCTCTATAAACCGTGACCCTGCCCACCACGTTAGCTCTGCCCATCGCCTTGAGGACGAGGGTGGCAAACAAAATTAGCTATCAAGTTTCTAGAAAACACAACCTCAGAAGTACACCTGATCTTTTTCTATTGTATATCATTTAGTTCTTTCACTCCTCCCTACCTTTGGCATATTTATACCTTTATCTTAATGCAAGAAGACCCCCGACACAAATTCCGAAGAAAAGCTGCCACTTGAAGTTGTGGATGAACGCAGACGCGACAGTAATGAGTCCGCCTAGCACCAGCATCACTCAGCTGACGACGACCAGCGCCTCCATTTTGGAAAATATGGATACGGTGCCGAATGCCAACCAGTACCCCCTCACAGTTAATTTCCCTATTAATCGTAGCTTGCTCACCACGTTAGCCCTGCCCATCGCCGAGAGGAGGATGGTGGCAAAAAAACTTAGCTATAAAGTTTCTAGAAAACACAACCTCAGAAGTACACCTGATCTTTCTCTATTATATGTCATTTAGTTCTTCTACTCCTCCCTACCTTTGGCATTATATTTTCACCTTTATCTAAGTGCAAGAAGACCCCCCGACACAAATTCCGAAGAGAAGCTTGAAGTTGTGGATGAACGCAGAAGCGACAGTAAGGAGTCCGCCCGGCACTGACGACCAGCGCGTCCATTTTGGGATAGATGGGCACGATGCTGCACGCTGTTAATTACTTTATTAACCGTGACCCTGCTTACCATGTTGGCCGTGCCCATCGTCGAGAGGTGGTTGGCAATAAAATTAGCTAACAAGTTCATAGAATTCGCAGAAGTACACCTCTGGGGGCCTATTCTCGAATGTCGAACGAACTATATGTCGAATTCGACATATGCCGATATAAATTGTCGCACAACGTGTGCCAATGTGTTGTGGTTTCTTTGTTGTTATGATGAGGGTTATGTCCAATGGCAGTGGAAGAAAAGAAAATTTATTGTGCTTCATCTCAAAAGGAAACACAACTTCATGATAGAATAAGAAAATGAGCCACTTTTACCTGACAAAAAAATAATGCTGAAGACCGATGTCCCTGTACCACGAATGGTTCTAGTATTGCAATATAGTTACTCTCACTAATTCCTGACCCCAGTCCTTACCAAAATGTCTTTATACATTTTCTGTCCGATAAAAATCTGAACGCATTCTCATATACGTTCTCTCGTTGGCGGTGATGACTTTATTAATTTTCCAAATTGTCAATTTCCGTGAATGAAGCTGCCATTCTCAAAATAACAAGTGAGGAAAATCAGTCAAATATTCAATCTCGCATTCTACATGAAATTGTCGACTGCTTAGGACTAGAGTCCCTGTATATACCTTAGACAAGAGTCCGGACACAGCTATACTTCTGTTCTTTTCTGTTTTCAAAAAATGCATTGATGATTGAATAAAGGAATAAGACAGATATATCGAGCTCTGTCTTTTCAATTCCCCTAGTATTAATGATTGTCAGAAACAATTTTGAGGGTTTAATTATTTGTCAAACCGTTCATAGTCGTAGGTAGAAGTGAGAAATAGGGCAATTTTAACTAGAATTACTATAAGATTTTCAAATAATGAACAACAGGGTGTTCAAATTTCGAATTCGATAATTTTCATAATCAATTCCTGAGATGGCTATTGCAAATTGTCGTCATCAGAAATTTCTTCACTTCATTAGATATAAGAAAGATAATTCAATCTACGTGGTATCAGATATAGCCAAGAAAATATAGTTGTTTTCTGTTGGGATATAAAGAAATAGAAGATATATATAATTGTTTCAATATAATTTTAATTGTGTCGGTTTCCCACCTCTTCCTGCAGTCTACATTCACCTGTAAATTTTGAATTTGATCTGAATTAAAAACACCGTGGACTGATGACATAGCACATTGCAATTTCTCTAATTATTCTAGTTTTGATTTCAAACTTTCAATTTCTTTCCGCATTATCTCATTCTCATTTTCTTCCTCTGCGATCGTATCATTCAGTAATTCCCAATACGATGTCGACGGAACTCTTTTTTTGAACGTCTCTATTTTATAAATTGACGGCACAGCAGACTCTTTCAATTTGAAATCCATCAGCTTGAAAGAATCTCTATCAAAATGGGCCTGAAATTCATCTTTCTTGTACTGTTTTTTCGAGTAAATTTGAATATTTACATTACATATTGCGGATTTCTTGAAATTAATTTTCCATTCTGGACGTATCATTACATTCTTTCATGACATCATCTTTAAAGGATCATTCGGAAAATTGAATAACTTGAATCCCTTTTCTAATGAATTATCGCAATAATGTACGCAGCAGGACATTGAAATAATTTAAAATGCTAAATTTTGACGGTCATAAAATTTCAGTGACAGAAATTCGAAATAATTTAAAAAAGCGGGCAGGACGACTATGGTGTTTCGTCACATTGTCAGGTGTGCGAACCAAATAAAACAAAATATTAAAAACCCCAACGGCTGTCAGTTTTGTGTCCGGACTCTTGTCTAAGGTATATACAGGGACTCTACTTAGGACCACTCTACAATTTTTTTATCGAACATTTTCGAATTCATTCGAGAATTTGTACTCCACGTTCTTTGTTTGACACTATATAAATCTCTCATGCGTCAAAATATGTCACCGTTTGAGAATTGCGTGCCTGTGGTCTTTCTGTATTGGATGTCATTTAGCTTTCTCGCTCATTTCTACTTTTGGTTTTCTATTTCTAATATCAACTAAGTGCAAGAAAACATCTGTCTGGGAATACTCACCGACACAAATTCCGAAAATACTGACGAAGAAAAGCTGCCCGCTGAAGTTCTGGATGAACCCGGACGCGACAGTAATGAGTCCGCCCAGCACCAGCGTCACCCAGCTGACGACCAGCGCGTCCATCTTGGGAAAGATGGAGACGATGCCGCACGCCACCCTGCCCACCACGTTGGCCCCACCCATCGCCGAGAGGAGGAGGGTGGCCTGGGTGGGGCCGAAACCCAGTTCGTAGCCGCGCTCGACGATAAACACGAACGGGATGTAGAGGCCGATCATGGTGAGGAAGCCGCTGGCGGTCAGCATCACGAAGGCCAATTGTTTGAATAACCTGGAAGTATTACCCACCGACTTATACAATATTGTGGTCTGTACCAAAAAAACAAATTCATGTAACTAACAAAGGAATATGTGTCAAATATCGAATCCAATGATATGTGACGAATATTGCGAATGGTTTGTAAAATAAAGAGTCCTCTGGCAATACCAACGATGTTTTCTTGCTATTCGCATCGTTACCAAACGATACATGAAAGTGACATCTCAGAGATGGTTGCGGTTACTGGGTAAGAACCTATTATTTCCCATTGTGGATATGATATAATGTATACAAAGAACAATTCCCGAGAATCAAGACATTGTTGATGATGTCGGCAACGTCGTACTGACATAGAAATAGAAATAATAATTATTATAAGTCTAGGGGGTATCTTCATATAACATATAGGTATATTGAATTTTTAAAAACTTCACAGTGAGATGAAAACATCAATATTGGAAACTTCCCCAATATTACTTAAAATTGCCAATGGCTACTGGATGGAGTGAATATCAGTTTCAGTTTTAGGAGTCGTTATAATATACTGTGCCAATTGTTTTAGATGTATGACAAACTGACATTTATCATACAGGGCGTGGAAAGAAATTCTGAATTGAGATAAGTCAACAAATTTTCATTCTCAGATAGATGTCAGTTCCACTATAGTTTTAGTTATATTATTATAGAAATGTGAAAATTGTGTATTAAATGAAGAATGGCTGAAGGAATGACTGGACTTCAGGTTACTGAGGAGAGTTTGAAACTCGAAATGAATTTTATTCGAATCAAAATCATCTAACCTATGTGAAAGAGATGTGCATATATCCCAAACATCATGGATACGGATGATTTTTGATAAATTCACGACTCAACAAGAACAGAGTATGTATACTAGTATATTTCTCCCATACATTCCAATTTTCATACCAATTTGGTAAGTAATATATTTTTTATATCGTTATATTCATCATAGTATTCATCCGATTCTGGAAGAGAATGTCAATTCTCAATTTCAGACGATATTCATTTTATGCTCAAATTCCTATCGTGTATGTTCAATTGATATAATTCAATGTTCGTCGTGGCATATAGCCAGGAAAGTAGTTGTTTTCTGTTGAATATGCCGAGAAAGAATTAATAATTTCATCACATAGAGAATGCGAATTCTCAATGTATTTATTCAAATGTATCCATTTTTTCATGTTTATAATATATCTGAGAATATTCCTTTTCAATACTGTGCCAATTGATCTATTTACCTATAATCAAGCATAGTCACCAAAACTCTAACGAAAGCTTCAGGACAGCATTGACACTCTCTGCTCTCCTCGATATCCTTCTGGGTGATCACTCTTGATACGGACATATGATAACTCTGTAATAACGGAATTAGAACAATTTATTAAATCATGATATCTCCATAACAGCTCATGATCCATCTAAGTTTGTATTGTATTTTTCTTAACTTTTGTGAATCAACAAGTGTCATCGAAATTTTTCATTAGCCTTTACATATATCTATTGAGGGCTCATATGTGCAAGCAATGTTTTACTACATATGTACTTGGAAATGATGAAATCGGTTATTACTTGCCAATTTTCGTGACGGATTGTTCGATGTTATCGTTATCTTCGATCCATCCCTCTTATCGAACTGCCGCAACGTATACACAGAACCAGCATAGAATATGTCGTCCCTGTACAGCGGCCTGTTGAAGTTTTTATCTTGGCAAAGGCGCGGGCAACTGCAACATTTGCTCTTCTTCTTCTCGACTTCTGGTTCTACCTCTGCCTGCGCCATCACAGTCGAAGGGGCTACCGAGGCGCTAACCCTGAAACAGCTTCTCGTGAAACTAAATTCGCTGACGCCATCGTCTGGGAGAATTGCTGGAAGGAACAAACATTACGTGGATCAGAACCGGGGATTTATTCTACATTGAAATCGATATTCCTATTTGATTGTACAAGGTGGGCCAGAAGAAGTCATCCGATATTGTTTGGCTCTAATTTTTTCTTCTAAATTGAAAACTTTGATTTTGTTTTTTGCTTATTTTTATTTGAAACTTTGTAATTTTATTGGTCAAGTCGAGAAGATGATATTGGCCAAATGGGCGCCGCCACAATTGATTGCTATACGGGCTCGTTTTATGGCATTTATCATCACTTCGGCGAGAACATCGGGCAACAGATTCTCGCACTCGTGTCAAATGTTGTCCTTGGGGGCTTCCAGGGCCTCGGGCTTGTTCACGTAAACACGGGACTTTAAAAAACTCCACAAAAAAAGTCTGAAACGGTTCAGTCGGGCGATCTTGCGGGCCGGTGCAAATCGGCAAAACGAGAGATGAGGCGACCCGAGAACGCCGCCTTCAGAATATCGGTTGTGGCTCGCGCAGTGTGTGCCGTTGCTCCGTCCTGTTGGAACCACATGTCCTCCAGTCCTGATTCTTTCAATTTTGGCAGAGATACGGGGGTGCTTCCATCCATAAAAAATGCGACAAAATTTCATTTTTCCGAACTGAACATTTTCCAGGAAAAATTTGAATAGTTAGTAAATTGGGCGTCCTGATTTCAAATCTGAAGTGATTTTCGACCTATTTTGACTATTGACCTATTTTCCGGAAATTGGGGTAGTTTCATGGCTGTTGGCGAGCAGTGTATATCACTGAAGATGACCCCACTTGGTCATAGAGTGCATTTTTGGTATATCTCTCGCTCCAGCAAATTTCAGGATCCTTACCCAACGATTACGTAAGGGGTGGTTCCATTAGAAGTGGGTCACACTGTATATATAATAGATTCTTTCAAAGCATCATCACTTCGACGCTCTAGTGCTCTTGCCTTGAAACAAACAGCCTATCATCGCTGGCGCAAAATCCCTAAGCACGCGACCAGAGCAGAATACGTTGGAGTTGGGAATAACTGCAACCAAACAGTGGATGCATCAAAACGAACATACAATGCCAGAGTAATATCGAAACTCGTAGATTGTCCCAATGACTCCTGTTCATTTTGGTACCTTGTTAAAGCAGTCGGGAGGACTTTCACTAATAGTTTGTTTCCCAAAACTCTTCAAACCAAATGGCACATTAGCAACAACATATCGCAAGAGAAAACGAACAGTTTTGCAGGCATGTTCCCAGCAAGATTCACTACAGATTCTTAAGGGAAAGTGCCGCCAGATATTCCAACCTTCGATAGTCGAATTCCCGAAATCGTCTTCCGTCAACGCACTATCAGACGCATTTTGCTTGGCCTCGAAACGAATGTGGCTAATGGCATTACACCCATTATCCTCAAAAAATATGCACCAGGATTTACGCCGATTCTCTGCAAGTGATTTACCATCTCGTACGAGTCGGGTATTCTTCCATCTTGCTGGAAGATAGCTAGAATTCAACCAATTGTTGAACCCTGTTATCAGTCATCCCAAAAATGACGGAGAAAGCCAATATTGAGCTTATCAAATGTTGGGAAAGCTCAAAAATCATCAATAATAGACAATATGGCTTTCACCGCCGAATATATAAACTGAAGATCTACCCATAATATAGCAAACATCATTAGAAAAACATGATGAATCTCTAGCTGTGGCGTTCAGACAAATCGAAAGCATTTCGACCATTTCAACCGGCACCAAGAACTTCGTCACAACCTATCATAATACGGATTATAACCTCGAAATCATGAACGATATGAAGCATTGCTTGCAGGACTCAAAGGTCGTGAGTTCGACGTTCACGCAGGGCGGTGGAGTTTTTTTATTTTCCATTGTCACTCGTAATTATGGCTTTCAGTCATCTTCATTATTATATGTATCTTTTCGGTCGAGTAACCGACAAGAATTTTCACTCACTTCTATATGTATAGATTGCTTGCGGACATTTCCATATACAAGAAAAGACAATGCCAGGGGACGAACGGCGAAAAATGGAGACTGTGTAGTACCATCCTGCCAGCGATGCTTCGTATAGTGCATGATTCCGAGTGACTTCAAGAATTGAAAGGATTCTGCCGCCTAGTGTGTGATAAGAACTCGACCTCCTTGCCGATTGATCGACGGATGCGCCGTTAGCTCAATTGGCAGAGCGTTGGGCGTGTAACCCAGAGGTTGTGAGTTCGACTCTCACACGGGGCGTTGGAGTATTTTCATTTTCCATTGTCACTCGGAATTAGGGCTTTTCATCTTCATTATTATATGTATCTTTTTGGTCGAGTAACCGACAAAATTTATCACTCATTCCTATGTAGGAGTTCCACAAGGATCAATTTCAGCACCAACATTGTTACTACTTAATATCAATGATCTGTTGGGAGTATAACCATTTGCCCTATCAACCAGCTTCGAAGGTGATATTACTCTCTAGACTGTGTTGTCTTTCAGAATTCCTATTTCTTCCCAGGAAACTAAGAACTCACGGAAAGGCAGGTCAACGTTGTCAATGAGGATCTCGCTAAAATTACAACCTGGGTAAACATGCTACAATTGTACCGAAACTCGAGCCTGTATTTTTTTCTAGAAAGGCAGAACTCAGTATGCCTGATATAACAATGTCAGGTATCACCATTCCCACCAAGTTCTTTGCTCTTTTCCACGTGACTCTGAGGCGAGGGCAGATCTGATTGAGACTAGAGACACCGGCGTGAAAACAAGGCTATCAGAACATAACAGCCAGTTTTCCGAAGATAGCCAAACGGCCAGTGGCGTCGACTTTTTTAGGATTACCGTCGTCTTTTTACAATCTGAGATATCCTCACTGTCAGATATAACTGTTCATGTCTCATCTTTTCGTAGTCCATTCGTAGGGGGCAGCGAGAAATAACAAAATACCCTGAAATTATCAGGGTAAGTTTTTAGAATATAATGTATACAATTGATCAGTTACCAGCAACTCGCAAGCCGTCTGAAGGGGGCTGCGAGAAATAATATAATATGAAATAAATTCTTAAAGTGGGGACGCAATGATTTCTACACCCTGAAAATATCGTGGTAGGTCTTTCAGAATATAACGAAGGGAGCAACGAAAAATATTATTATAAAATATGTTACGGTCCACTTGAACCTTACATAACTTAAGTGACCCTTCTACTATTCATTTTTTTTCAGTGCAATCAGTTCGGAGTAACACTCAGTATGCATCGTATTTTCAACAGAGAAATAATATTTCAGCATCAATTTGTCAGGACAACCTGTATATAACTTTCATCTTCTTCCTGTGATTGTGATCGAATCATACGTTAAGATGCTGATATGTTTCCCTGCTAAGAGTTTCACTTGTGGAAGTGTTTATCTTATTCTTATTTTTGTCAACAAACTCAAGACTTCTTCTAACAATTAAAATATCAACATAGAGAATTCACTTCTATATGATTGCCTCACCTGTGTTATTAAAACAGTGTGGACAATCGATGTCACGTTGAATACAAAGTCACTAGATAAGGCCAATTCACACAGCACTCAATTAGACCCAGCGCTCTGATTTCTTAGTGTTCTGTGTCTAAATAGCGTTTTCCACTCGCCGATTTACAGAGCGCACTAGCACAGAACGAGTACAAAAGGCACTGGCTCGGTTCTTCCATAAAGTGCGGTTCCAGCACAGAGCAGAGGAATAGAAATAGAGAGTTGGTGCGAATTTCTTGTCATCAGAAATGTCAGGATAATTGTTTAGTCAATCAAAAAGTTGATATTGAAAGTACATTTTCTTCCGTTGGTCCACATCTCGGTCCACATGAAATGAATTCATCTACCTCTTATTGTGGTTTCCCTGTGAACACTGCCATAAATCAGTCAGAAACATATCAGTATGAATGTTCATTGTCAATGATGTTCAATTGAATCATTCGCCAATAGTGATGTAGCATTGAAGTGTCGTTCAAGAACTTAGTATTTTCCATCATTACTGAATCAACAATCAAATATGTTTAATACCTGCACATCTGAATAGCTTTCTTCAACTTTTAGGTAATTTTGAATCTTCCGTAAACGCTGTTTCGTAACGAAGTACTTCTGTATCTCAATCATCATTTCTTCATCATCGCTTGTATCCGAAGTATCTATGATTTAGTAAATTATTGTAATAATAGTAATAAACTACAATGAGACATTAATGATTATTCAAATTCCATACATTTTTCCACCCGTGACTCGAATATTTGAGGTTATGTGTATCGCACCGTCGTACAAGCACAGTTCTGAAAACTCGAACTCTGAGCGGACATCGAGCAAGTTTGAAAGCCAGTGGAAATCATTTCTCGACAAAAGTTTGCTCTTGAAATTCTCAGTGGACCACGCAAAACGCACTCAGTGCCGAAAAAGTTTGAACTAGTGCGACGAGTGGAAAACGCTATAAGTTCGACGGTGTAATCTTGACCCCGCCGAAATTCGAGCAAGATTGACGGAGATCGTTCTCTCTCGATTGGCGCTTGGCAGAGCAACAAGTAAATTTTTACATTCTTTCGAAATGCCAATTATATTGGAAATAGGTCGATTGAAAGCTATAGGTATGTACAATATGATATAAGGTTCATTTTGAGCCATTTGATAATGTTCACACAATTATAAAAGTATAAGAAAACACATCGATCAACGTGATATTCTTTTCAGGCCTTTTTGGTTTCTACTGAAGCCATTTGCAATTTTTGTCATTTTTGGTGATGATGTGCAGTATGCACTTGCGCACATGACATGTCGTCATGGCGGCAATTTAATGATAACCTAACCTGTTGTAGATGTTTTGGTTAAATGTGATGTATATTTCACAATTGGGATTTATGGTTCGATGCCTCCCAAATTTCATCCCATATTATTGCTAATGGGGCAATAACAAGTGTTTGTCAGCTGTTGGAGTTTGCTGCCTGTTTTGTTTGTGTTTGGATACCATGTATATGAA